AGGAATGAGAAATCAGAATCCCAAACACAAGCTGGACCAGTCATACTGCTGAAGACAGTGACAGACCAGTTTATTTCACCAGGGAATCAAAAGGCAGGTGGGATGTTACAGTGCTGATTCTGCACCTCTCTGCCCTGAGACTGCACCCTGCTGGGGAGTTCACCTGCAGAAAAAAGGGAGATGAAATGAAAAGATTCTGGAGATGATGAGCAGGATTGAGGAGAAGAAGGACATTACCTCATTCCCAGCCTGGTCAATTTGGAGGAGAGTTGTGAACTCCAAATCCAAATCAGCCCAAGTGCAGAGTCACATTGATGCCATGGCATTGTTTTCAAATACAAAACTACCTCTCCCTGCTCCTTGGTTCACCCTCTTCCCCATTTCCTGGAGAGCACAGGTTCACCCTCTTCCCCATTTCCTCTGCAGCCTTGAGTATCAGCCACAGGAGCACCTAAGAATGCCAGGCTGTTCAGAGAACTTGTCATATTCAGCTGGAACTGACCTGGGCACAATGGTGAGGGATGCCAGATACTATGTACCCTTTTCCAAGCCTGTATTTCCATGAACAGATCCTTCTGGCTCTCTTTTCCTGATTGATCATCAGCCACTTTCCTGTTCTTAGGTCAAGATAAAAGGTGACTAAGGATGGAGCAAATAAGATAAGATTAAGGCAAAAAGATTGGTGAGGGCTAAGCTGGTGGAGCTTTGGAAACAAAAGTGCAGAAATTTGAGATTGTCACAAAAGATTAAAGAATTCACAGAAAGGGAGGGAAGGGTTTGTGTATGCAATGATGTCAACAGAGAGAAAGCCTTGCAAATAAAATGTTATCTCCCAGAAAGCTTGGTTTACCTTGGCCTGAGTCACAACTGCTGTGGAGGCAAACATTAAGCTTTGATCACAGCTGCCATAATCTTCCCTTGACACCCAATAATGAAAGCAACAGAAACAGGCTGAAGCATGGCAGCTGTCTGGCTGAGATGAAATTGCATTTGAAAAGGAAAACAAAAAGGCAAAGTCCTGCTGAAGGTGGAAACAAGAGGTGACAGGACAGGGCCTTTTTGAGAAGGCAACTGGTTGGAATGGACTGTGATTTTTTTCTTGTGTAGATAATATCAGTGTCAGTGCAGGGGTGATGAGCCACCCACTGTCAGCAGAAGCCCTGTTTCGGTGGTTTTCCTTACTGGCAACAGGTGAAACAGTTCCTGCCTTAAAAATTTACCTGCTTCTTTCAAGAAAATGCATGGCAGGTGTTGGAATAAGAGGAAGGGTAATTAGAGGCTGAAAATTCTGGGGAAAACATCACTTAGTGGCAGAGGCTGACCATGTTCAGGAATTCACTGAATGTCATTTCTGGGAAACTGCTGCTCCAAAGTTACTTTAAATTGTAGGCTCACAACCCCCTGGGTTAATCTCACAGGATGGTGGTACAGCAGCTGTGATGGTACTGCTTCCCCATCCAGAGACACAAACACAATTTCCTTGTTACTCTGCCACTGTTCTCCCAGCAGCCCTTCTGGCCCTTGGGCTGAGGACTTTTCTCTTGATCAGTTTTCTTACAAGCCCACTGATGCAATGCATCTCTGTCTCATCTATTCCCAAGAGATTCCAGCTTTCAATAACTTTCAGATCAAGGAATTTAATCCAATGCTGGTCCAGCCAGGTCTCTACATGAGAAAATGGGAATGAGAGCAGCACATCATGAGTGCCCTCATTCCATGGGAGCTTCACTTCACCCAGCACAAACTAGGGATTTCATGAAGCAGGCAATGATCTGGACTAACAAGTGTACAGCTCACAGAAATTTTCCTTCTGAAGAGGATGGTTTTCACAGAGGATCCACTGAGAACAGATTTTGTGAAGCAGAAGAGGGCAAGATAAAATGGGGAGGAGTAGAAAAGGACCAGGACACTCCCAGAATCCATCTGAAACTCTATCATGATATAGACATTTCTGTGTTGAGGACTGCACAAAGAGAGAAGATCACACCAGCCTGTAATCTTACACACTCAGAGGATTTGGCTTATGGAATAACTGCTTCTAAATGGACACCTCAAGTTGGAAACAGTCCTTCCTAAAGGACTTCCCACTGAATTCTGGCCTTTAAACTGAACATTTCACCCCTGTCAACAAGAATGATTTTTCAGGGGAGCGGTGTTCTTGTTAAGGGATGCACAGAGCTGAATGTAAGAATTCCAATCCTAATTTATCTGAGGCAGACAAGATTTGTTTCAGTGAGAGCATTAAGCATCCTGCAGCTTGATATTAACTGATGGACTCTTGCTTACTCTTGGCACTTCCTCTTGTGAATGAATCACTGTTACTTCCGCTTCCATGCCCACCCCTCCACTTGGTTCCTTCTTAATTTTACAGCTTCCTGAGCTTGACACTGGGAAATCGATAAGTAATTTAGAGCCCAGTAAATACAGATGAAAAGAGGTTATTTTGTACTTTTATAAATATTTGGAAACCAAAACTATCTAAGAAAACAGCTGCTCAATTGACTCAGCAACCCATCCATCAGCATCACACAGTTAATTGCATAAGATCATAAACATTTATAATTAGAAGGCAAACAAACAAGAATTTTATAAACAGCCCTCTTGAATCAGGCTGCACATTAAATATTTGTGATAAGGTAATTAAGAATAGATTTACAATCGTGGCTCGGTGTTTAATACTTTGTAGAATGGATTTGATTCTATGGAGAATGTTCTACAGCCAAAGAGAAAACATTTGATTTTGGCTCTTTTATCCCAGGCTTAAAGTGGTCTCTGAGAAACACTGATCAGAGTGGAATTTCATTCATTACTGATCAGACAGCTCATTTAAATGTATGTCTAATGTCCCTTGTCATGGGCTGATCCACTTCAGGCATGCTTCAAAGCTCTGTCTCCTTGGCTGGATCTGCAGGCTTTCCCTAAGTCCTGCTTTTTATGGTTGATACTTTGATCAGACCACGTCAGAATTCTCAACCATGTTTCAAAGCAGGAAGGAAAACCCACATTTGCTATTATGACATCACTGGGTTTGGTTATAAAAAGCCAGCAGCACTGCAGGGTTACAGCTGTGCAATCTCAGTGGCCTGTGGGAACCAGAGGGTAGAGCTCTCTCGTACTGTGGTGCCCTCCACCATTCCCTGTCCCAAAATAGTCAGATCTGCGTACAAGCTAGCCAATGGAGTTAATTCTACAGCCAGTGAGCAGGCTCAGCACCCCATTTCAATGAATGTGAGTCCCCCTGAAGCTAATCTGGGATCAAGTCAGCAGGGCTCCTAAGTTATGCTTAGAACCAGGGAGGCTGGACACTCAATCTGTACTGAAGCAGTGATTTAAACTCTCTGACATCAGATGCTGATCCTAAGAAACCAAGTGGCTGCATCCTGTGAGTGGGTAATGGGGAGATCAGCCCTGAGGGTAAGATGACCTTCAGGTATTTTGGGGTCTGATGTGGCACAGGTTGTCTCCAGTAATTATCTGTCATCAGAAGCTAGAAGTGTCTGGAAAAGGTAGGTGGTGGGTAAAGCTGTAGCATCTGATTAATCAGTAATAGCTGTAAACCACTTTATTCTGGGGTGCCCATCATCTCTCTACACGTTGTTGGTCAAGTCAGCCCCTTTGTTTAGGCATGGGTTTGATTCTTGTGAGTCTTGTTCATGTATTTTTATGGTTGCAACAGGAAGGCAGGAGAGCCACTCTTCTTAGAAGGGTTTTTGATAATCTTGATGCTGACCCAGAATGGTGAAGCCTTCGTCATTAAGGACAATGAAGCCATCCATGTGCTAACTCACCCAGTCCTGCCTGCTGGTCTGGCTTCAGTTACATGGGACACAAAGGCACTTTCCTAAGAGACAGATGGCTGCAAAGCAGACTCCCCTCATTCCACATAAATCCCATTGTCTAGCAAAGCTTGTGAGGTATATTAAATACAGTGTGCCAGCTAAGCCAGTCTACAGGAGATGTTGCAGCTTCCTTCAGCCTCAGTGGGGAAGACCTGTGTGGAAGCCACTGCTAGACCTAGTGCTTCCACAGGGTCTAGCCAGAGTCTGCAACTTCAGTAATAATAGCAGAGCTTAGTACTCAAGTACTGTCATCATCCAAGCAGCTAAAATTATTTAATTCCTTCGTCTCATGCAAGGGTGGGGAGGATGATGGAGACACCTGGGAAATGAGATAACTGCTGGGCTGCTGAGGGGCCTGAGCTGCTCCTTCTCTTAGGAACACAGAGACCATTAGGAGTGCCATGTCCTACAGCCCAGAGCCATCCCCAGACATCAGCCCTAAGCCTGCAGGTGGGCAGCAGGACACAGGCACTGTCTGCATGCTCTGCACACACTGGGAGCTCCTCTGCCCTTTCTGTCAAGCGTCCTGAGCTTCCCCTTGAGAGGAGGCAACGATGCTGGATGAGGTACCTGCTCTGCAGATGAGCAAAACTTTGCCTTGGATAACAAACCACTTATGGGTACAGACAGAACCTCTTTTTCTGCTCAGTTGCTGCCTCTGGCCTCCACATGTGTGTCTGCTCTGCTGCTGTGTGTGTGGGGAGAGACATGGGCTGTGCACACACACGGCGCTGGTGCACAGCTGTCAGTGACACGTCAGCTGCAGCTACACCCCCTCCAAACACACGCCTGAGCCCAGTGAATCATGCCTATGCAGCATGCAAAATTAGCCCAGTGAGAGATAAACCTTGGGCATTTGTTGGTAAACAGATACTCTTTTGCAGTAAGAGCATAACTCACTGTGCTTCATTTACGATCCGTTTGTCGATGGCTGAGATAAAACCGTCATCCCTTTAATTCAGGAGAAAAAGGGATCCAGCAGAGGAGGAGCACCAGTGCTCTGCCTGTCGGTAATTAAAATACAGGATTTATCATTGAGAAAGCACTGGCTGGAGAGCTAAGCTTAGCCAGCTAACTGGGGGAAAATGCTGGGGAAGGTTTATGGTTCTTTCTAAAGTTTTGTTTGTGTTTTATGTCTATTTCTTTCCCCCTTCCCTCCAGGTCTAATAATACACGAAGGGCCCTCGGTTTACCGGATTTTTAAACGGTGGCAGGCGGTCAATCAGCAGTGGAAAGTGCTGAACTATGACAAAACAAAGGACATGGAGGAGCAAAAAACAGGGACCAGGACAAATCAGCGCCCCTCCTCCCAAACCACCCACTCGTCCTCCACTGGTGGTACAGCCACTAACTCCGCTCCAGCCGACAGCGGGGCACGGGCTGCCGGCCATGCCACAGGCACCCTCTCTGACCACCACTGTGCTTATACCATCCTGCATATACTCAGCCACCTGAGGCCTCACGAACAGAGGAGTCAGTCTAGTAGTAACAGAGAGCTCGTCATGAGGGTCACGACGGTCTGAGCAGAGGAATTCAGGAGGCCTTAACACGAAGCGGAGGAGACAAAGAACTCATAAAGCAGAGGAGCATGGTGTGCCTTTTTCTTTCTCTTTCCTTTTCTTTTTTCTTCTCTTCTTTTCTTTTTTCAGTAACTGCACAAGATATAAGAGGCGGCACCTGGCCAGCTAAGGAAAAAAGCAGGTGGAGGGAGAGCTGCACACTCATGCTAAAGAGGTTAATGTTTTCCAGCCTGTTTAAAAAAAAAAAAAAAAAGAAAAAAAAAGAAAAAAAAAACAACCCAAATCACAAAAAAACCAACAAAACAAGTGCAATACAGACTACAAACTGAGTAGGCAGAGTTCTGGGGAAGCAGAGGAACAGACGGTTGAGCATGTCTTACAAATCCTATTACCTGGAATAGGTAACGCTCTGTGCACAGCCCCCGTACACACACGCACGCGCACACAAACACACACATAGTGTGAGATTTATAAAAACATGGAAGGGAACGAAATATTTGGAGTGGTTTTATTTTCCAGACTCCAATTAACCAGGGCTATGAGTTGTTTTGTTTCATGAGTCACTGGAGCCTTGTTTGATTTACCGTGGGGTACCTGAAGTGAAATGGCTGGGGATTTTTCAGTATTGATTTACAGAAGACAGATTGAATCATCTCACTAAGAAAATCTTAACAAAATCCAGGCATACCCAAATTTCACCAAGAAGCCTGTTTTTTTCATAATGTTCCTGACAAGGGGTTTGTGAGGGTAGAACTGGGAGGGGGGAGGGTGCTCCATAACCTTTATTTGACGTATAGGCATTTTTGGCAAATTTTGTACAAATGTTCCGCAGGTGTTTCAAGCACAAGTACTGGTGTGATTCATGCCTTCATAACCCCAAATCCAGCATCCAGACCTTGCCACCCACACACATCATTTTCCATGCAGACATTCCAGGTTAATTTCCTTCCATTTTACTCTAATCACAAGAAGCTGACCCATCTTTGGTGGGTTTCTGCTCCCTTGCTGATTCAGACACTCATGCATTGGAGATGTACCTTTTTTTTTTTGGTGTCTGTATCTCTGCTGCTCAATTTGCAACAGTCTCACTCAGTCTTGTAGGCTGATCCTTTCACATCCAGTCTGTTAGTTTATTACAGAGTCTATTCCATTCAATCATCCAAAAGAGAGTTAGTCTGAAGAGGGAGCACAGTTGCTGACTGACTGTGTAGCACTTCTAATAAGTCTCCCTCTCTGGGATATATCCTCGAAGGTATCGGTTGCTCTTCAGGAACATTCTCTTTCAATGCACAATGGCTGAATCATTTGTGGATATTAAAGGGACACTGTCAAGTACTTTTTAAATAGTTTTTAGGGTTTGGGCTTTTTTTACTCTCCATTGTTTGTAATATTCTCTTACAAGCTTGAAAATAAAATTTCTTTCCCTACCGATTTTGTCCTTTTCCATTTGGGCATGTATGGTTCTCTCCACTCACCCCATTCCTTTCACCATCCCTGTCCTTCTCCTCCCCACCTTTCTTCTGTGACAGGAGGAAATCCATATTTCTGATTTCCTGCTGACTGTCTTCATTCTATGGAGGGTATGTCCCAACTCTATGGGGTTGAGTTATTTTGCAGCTGCCACAGAGGAAGCATAAGAGCAGGAACCCTAGAAATACGGAGATTAGCTGGGATTTTCAGGAGCAAAAGCTCAGCTATCACAAAACAATGACCCCATAGTGTTCAAGCCTGAACCCAGCTCCCTCCAAAATCAAGATAAAGTCTTCAGCCAAACTGCATCCATTTAGCAGCAGTGCCAAGCAACATTGCATGATGGCTGAATGCAGCTGCCCTCCATCATCATACCAGCACCTCTCGCACCTTCTGTGGAGACAGGGCAAACGGGGGCTACCAGCTCCTCTGGCAGCCAGGCTGTCACAGGTCAGGTGTTTCTGGACTGGAGAAGGTGTCAAACTTCAGCCTCTGTGTTTGAGCATGGCAGCCATCCTGCAGCATTGAGGATGGAGGTGAGCAGCTTAAGGCAAGGTCGTATTTTTCACCTCGATTACTTGACAGTGTCCCTTTAAATATCAGAATGCAACAGAACAGGTACTTACTTCTCTGGCAGAGAATGTGGGAGGTGGAACACCGTCCGAGAAAGCCAGCTTACTGAGGACCAGTGTCAAACAGCATGGTTTCTGAGGCCACTGTACCTTTGTCTGACCAGATTTACTATCTACCAAAGAGTACTTTTGGCAGAGGGGAGAAGAGAGATGGTGGTGGGCAGAGGGAGAGGGAAGGGGCAGTTCCAGTCATCTCTGAAAGTAGCTATCCCCCAGAAGGAAGGTGTTGCAATGAATGATCTCTGGAAGAACTGTTTCAGTAGAGAGAAACCTGGCCAAAGCAAGCAAACACAGCAGCCTCTCACTCCTATGCCTGTTCTGGAAGCTGTCCACATTCCAAGAGATGAGTAATTATAGTGTTTTTGGGAAGGGGGAAGCATACACAGGTGAAGGGACAGCTGTCACCCATGATGTCGTTTCCCGCCCTGCCCTCCACTCATTTAATATGGAGAAGTCAAATTCCTTTAATTTGGCTAACAGATAAAATGTTACGAGGTCAGAAGCACAACTTGCTGTGAAAGAGTGGTGTACTCTGAGCACACAGGACTCTGCATACTCTCACTCCAGCTCTGCCACTGACTCTGTAGCCTTGGGCTGTTTGGCTCAGTCCCCCCTCCACGCAAAGGGGGAATAACAATACGTACCTACCTCACAGGGGTGTTGTGAGAATCCACGTTGGTAAAGCCTGTTGAAGTGCTGAGTCTACCGCCGGTAGTGACGAGGTGTGTGGTGGGGGTGAGCAGCGCTGCCCTTTTGCTGGTTACAGTGTGAATCACAGCGGGAGCCCATCGGCCTTCTCCTCCCTGGAGACCCTCCTCGAGCGGAAGCGGAGGCTGTCGCCCGAGTGCCCTCTCCTCCATTGCATGACATTTTAAGCGGCTGTGAGGTGCAGGATAGTGACAGACATGAAGTCCTACTTGACCAGGGATTTGCTACAACGTTTTCTATATCTGTGGGGTTTGTTGGTTTGTTTTTTCCATATATTGTGCTTAGAAATAAACTTTCCACTTAGGGCTGGCGGTTTGGGGTCTATTCTGTTGCATGGCAATGTATACAAGTCTTATTGTCTGTCTTACTGTGCAAATGATCCCGCAGCCCAGTTTCAGAGATGGGCATGGTCTGAGCCTTTTCACAGCGGCATAAGACTCAAAAGCCTGTCTAGACTGTTTAATATTTAAACAACACTATGAACTTGTCAATTGTATGTGTTCTGTGCAATACGAAGCATGTCATTAGCTGGCTTGATGGGCAGAGGGGCTAAAGGAAGGTCAAAACTTGTTCGAAGAGCTTCATACATGTGCCAGCATGGGAGCCGAAGGGCTGCCACCAGCAAAGCAAACTCGGGGGAAGCCATTGGAAACTATTTTCAGAACAGTTTACTCCAGAACAAGGTACTTCTGAGTTTACGAACTTCTAGGCTGCCAGCCTGAGAGAACAAGTGCAAATTTAGTGTGGGGGTTGGGGTTTTGAATTCCCTTTTTGTTTCCTCCTCAAAGTTTTGATGGCAGAAATACTGAGGATCTCTTCCTTCCATAGCACAGTTCTCTCATCTCCCACAATCTCCTTGTGCTACTATGCAGGACTTTCAAAGGTGCAAATGGAGACAGTACGCTCCTGAGACATGAAAAATAAGTTGTGTATTGGGTGATTCTAGCAGATAGATGAGATGGGGCAGAGCTATGCTGCAGAGGCATCTCTTCTTCCCCATGTCTTTCTTCTAGTCTTGTCTGCTGGGTCCCTGAAGAGACGTTCCCTGTACTTTGTTACAAAGCTGTCAGATCACCTTCCACTGACAAACAAAGCTTGCAGAGTTTGGCAGCTGTTTCTCCCAACGGAGAAAATTCTGGGTCCTATCACTGTGGAGACCCCTCAGTTCTTGGGCTTTGTGGTCCTCCAGCATTGTTTGGGGGTGGTCAGTGTGGAGGACTGTGTTCAGCCATCATCAGAAATCGTGCGTGTATGGTCCTGCTCAATCTTGTGATTTCTGCCAGTCCCCTGATTTTCTGTCAGCTTTGACAGGTCTTTCTGGTAATGCTTTTCTGGTTATGCTCTTCAGAGGTGTTTTGCTCTGTGTCAGTTGCCAATGCTGTTCTTGCCTACTGAAACATCAGTGCTGGCCTCCAGCTTCCATAGCTCTTCCATTCTTGCCATCCTGTCTCTTGGTAAATACTCACTGCCAAGTTCAAACCCTCTTCCTCTGTGCCTGCAAGGGGTCAAGCACATGCACTAACCCAAGGGTCACCAGAGAACACAGGGAATGTTAAGAGTCTGTATCAGTAAGTCAAACTCTATAACCATCAGTCTTTAATATATATTTACTTTTCCAATCTCAGTGCCTGCTGTTAATTGGTTGCTACAAAAAAAAAGACAAATGCTGGCAAAAGCCATATACCCAGCTAACACTTGATTTCCAATTTAAAATGTAAAAAACTATGGGCTGTTTTCAGAAAAATCTGGTCTGTTCCCTGTTGTGGTTTCCCAAGCAAGTGGTGAAGAGGTTCTTGTTTTACCTTCCCATGATGGGATGGGCAACCCAAGGAAAGAGAAAGTCAGCAGCTTAGATTTGAGTCAAGAGAAGTGTCAGCTGTCCTGTTTTCACTCAGGGAGACAGGAAAATACTATTCACACCTACCAGATCCTTGGCTCTTCTCAAAGCCCTTGATATGGCAGCAGTAACTCTAGAGCCAATGGCTGCAGCTGGAGGACCATTCTGAAGAATTTCCAGTTCTGAAGACCATCCTCTGTCCACTTGTAGTGGTCAGTCATTCAAGCATCCTCTCTTTGTTTTCCTTAAGAGAAAAAGATTATTTGACTAAGCAAAGCACCAATGCTCTTCAGGGTAGGATGAGGCTGCACCATTAGCACTTCCAACCTGTGGTACATCCACCAGGATTCCTGTCCATCTTCTTGTGAGGATGCATGGTCAGAAGAGCTGCTCCTTCCCTGTTTTATGTTGGTCAAGCACTTGGAGGAAAGCAGTCAGGAGTGCAATTGCCTTAGGGACTGCTGGCTGAGTACCCTGATCTCCCCTCCAGCATCATCTCCCCTGTGACTGCTCCTTCTCATTCCTGAGGCAACAGATGCCTCATCCCCTCTGCAATCCTTAGACTCTGGCCCTGAAGATCTCATGAGCAGACACAGAACTACATCCTTCACATTTCCAGACAGGCAAATTCACTCCATTAATAAACAATGACATTCAAATCCTGAGAGGACAAGCAAGTGTAGGAGCCTATTGCATTGACCTTCACCATTTCTTACATGCTGAAGGAAATAGGGTGAAAACACCAATTGGTTTCCTCCATTTTGCAGCAATGGACCAGTGGGCCTAGGAATATTTCCCTCAATAATGCAAGTCTGACATGCAGCAGTTACTGCAGGCTGTCTTTGATCTCACATCTATCATGTCGGATAAAAGGAGAGCAGAATCTGACAGTTCTGTGCTGTTTACACAAACATCAAAAACTATCTTAGTTCATTATTCAAATTACCTCCAGGTCAGTGGGTGAATTTCTCCTTTGATTTTTTTTCTCTTTCAGAACTGGAATTGCAAGATAATAGATATGTAAACATATACATATATATTTATAAATGTTATCCTGAAAACATAAAGAAGAGATAAAAACCTAAATAAACCTACAACGATACTTGATTTTTGAATAGGTCTTGTCAGAAGCCAGGGAGTTGCTGTGTGGAAAATGTGACATAGGGTTTGACTTCAGGCAAAGAGAAGATGGAAGAGGGAAATACTTTTATGGCACTCTTGGCCTATCTTTAGTTTATGCTCATTATTGTATAGCATTTAATTAAGACAGAAATATGTGGAAAACAGACACTCAGATCCAGCAGCAGGAAACACACTGAAGACCCCTCAAAACTACCTGAGCCTCAAACAAGCACAATGATGCAAAAGCACAAACAGCTGCCATCACAACTGCTTGAAAAGAGATGGATTTCTAAATGGGACAAGAACTCAGACAGAAATTCTTTTCCAAGCCACATTTCCCATATTTCTTACTTAAAAAAGGAAAAAAAAAAAGAGAGAAAATGAAAAAGGAGTGTTCTGATACCCGAGTCTTAAAGAACTAAGTAACAGTAGAGGTACTAAGATGCTCCTTTCTATGTTATATTATGCATCAAGATGTGCTTTGCCAAACAGAATTAGGATATCACATTCAGTTCCCTGATCATTCAAAGACAGTCTCAGTGACTGAGTCTGCTCAAAGAGACTTCCTAGAGTGTAGCCTTCACCAGAGTACCAGAGCTCCCACTGGATGGATGAGCTGGCATCAGGCTGTGTGCCTCCAGCTGCACTCTTCTGTGGCAG